GAGCGGTTGCGGCGGCGTCAGCGAACTCTGCCGCGAACAGCTGTACAAAGCCACTCATGTCGTCCTTCACGACAAGCACTTGTTTTTGGCCAGACTTCGCCATGGGCATCGACAACCAGTCGAAATGGATGAGCTCGTTCGGCTTCTCCACGTGAAGCGCCGAACCCAATGGACGGGGAATCATTTCTCCGTCAATGCACAGGCAGTGCAAACAGGCCCTCACGAACGCTTCGACGTCCGTGGAAAGCGTCTTCCACATAAACTTGTCATACACCGATTTGGTCGTCGCTGCGATGCGACGGTGACCGCTTGCTCCTTGGTGAGCCATCACACAAATCCGCTTCTGTAGGTCGACAGCACCGTCTGGGATCCAGATTCGTCCGTCTGGGTCCACGTAAAAATGGGAGTCGTCGTCCCAATCCATGCCGTTTGGGAGGGTCCCTCCCCCTTCCATGGTTGAACGTTGGATGCCTCTTATCGTAGCGGCTGTCGGCCACTCGAAATCCACTTGTTGCAGGGGCGACACCACATGGATCAACTTGCGAACATTCACAACTGGCTGATCCGCCGGAGCCGAACCCCATCGGCACAGGAGGTCGCCCCATACGTTCGCGTCACCCGAGTCGCACTCAATGGTGTACGGGAAGGTCGACATCGCCAGCGACCATCGCTGCAGCTTGTCGGCCTGGTACTTGGTCATGTTGGTGTTCGAGCCACTTGGGTTGAAGATGTACACCAGGTTGCGGTGATCCGTAAACAGACGGAAACCACCCGGGCGTACGACCAGGTAATCGAGTCTCCTGCACGACTCGACCATGGCATAGGCCTCCTTCTCCACGATGGGCCAACGCGCACTCGCGCCAAAAAACGACCCATTGATGAATGCAAGCCGCTGGTGCCGCTGGTCTTCGAGAGGCAAGTCGAGGTCCGCTGGCGGTACTTGTGTGGCGACCGCACCCCAAAACAGGTCACTGGCGTCCGTGAAGACGCAGACCGTCATGTCTTCTCGCGGGTGCGACAGGGGCACCACATGCGCCAACGCGTGTTTCACATCGTTGAAACACTTGAGATAGTCGGACGACTATTCCACGGCACAGGGAGTGCAACACGCACTAACGCCGTTTTCTTGCAGCTTCCGGCTGCCTTGGTGGCCACGTCGAGCAGATGTCGCAACGGATCCACCAGCTGGTTGTAGCCGGGGATGCTCGCACGCATCCAGTTGGTGGCACACACAAACTGCTGGAGGTCGGCCGCGGTCGTCGGCGGCGACAAATGCACAAGTCCTTGAATTCGGCTTGGTGAATGGGTGATTCCATCGGCCGAAATCACCTTGTCACACCATTCTGCCTCGCGCAGAAAGAAATGACACTTCTTCGGGCTCAACTTGAGTCCGAACTGGGCACAGATGGACAGGACTGACTCGTCCCACAAGGCCGGCGAGGTGTTGATTTCAAGTCCATCCGATACAAGGACGCGAGGGAGTGTATGTTCGAGAACCACGCTTGTTGTTGCTCTGAGTTCATGTGCGCATACCTATACGAGTACAATGAGTATCGCAATGCTGACGTGTTCGTACGATTTTGATGCTTTTGTGATGACTTTCGATATGTTGTTGATGCGGCATAACTCCTGGACAATACGACGCTGTTGAAAACCACTGGTCCCACGGCGGAGAAAGGTACACATCACGAAACCATGTCGACATCTCGATTTCGCTTAGATCGACCATCCATTCCGACAGGCAAATGGCGGCAATCACGTGAAACTGGTGGTGTGATCGGGCAAGCCACATACGCTCTATGTCCGCCTTGACACGAGAATAGTTGTTCGATTCCCGTAGTAGTTTCTTGTGCTTGTGTACATTACGTTTCATGTGAACGTAGCACGACACGACATGCACGTTTGGCCATTTCCTGACCAACGCTGCATAAATGTACGGCGTATGGTCGATCCATGCTGTGGCAGGAACGAGGTTGGTGTCGAAGAATTCCTCAAACTTCGTGGCGGTCACGTCAAAAAGCTTGAAGTACCTCTTCGCATTCCGCTCGTACAAATATGTACCGTACGTCCACGGTAGGAAGCGGTGCCGAAAAGAACCATTCGTGTATCGCGTGTACACAGCGCCCAAATCTATCAACGTCCAACCACCTGGTCTGTGTAAGTCATCGATTATGCAAATTTCTACAGATTTCACACAATGTCAAAGTGAAGCTTGTACGTTCCATCCGTTGCAATGGCCAAACTGTCGCCTTGACGGTCTCTCGCCCATGCAATGTTCCACATGTTTTGCCGGGACGTCACGACTAACCCAGCGTACGTACTTTCGACGCTGTCGCTGGTGAATGTGCCCTCGATAATGTCAAGGGCAATCAATTTGTGCCTACCACAACACGTACACAGGTCCACACAAACGTAACTACAACTTTCAACTAACCTGTACGCGTTGTCGAGCTCAATGAATTCTTCGTACACGAATGTTTCTTCGCGATCGAAGAATGTCTCCTTGGTTGCACAGAGATGTGCTTGTCCCCACGTGATCAAATCAGCCAAATTGGAGATTTCCCAGCCTCCACTTTTCTTGCGCCCAATCCATGCTCGACGAGTCTTTATCTGAGTTCTTGTGGGGAGCTTATTCAACACGTCTAGGTTGTCACTATGTACATGATGTAGCTCAACCTAGGTCGTACAGTTATTTAAGGTAAGTACAAAGAAAATTTACTTCGAGTTTTTTGGGTGAAAGCCACATCTCAGGTACCGATCGATTTCAGGGCGAACTTGAGGGTGGATGCCGCTTGAGTCGTCATCATGTTCGGCTGAATGTTCCAGGCAGAGTCTTCAAGGTTGGCGTAGGATAGCTCAGCAACAATTCGAAGTTCATGGGGGCATTCCAAGTGGCTGCAGCAAACATATACGTACACCTTCCTCACGTTTGATGACTTGTAGTTCCGACTGTGCTTATACCTAACATAGCGTTAGCTGTTCTAGCAATCATACCTCAATGAGGTAGAGATGTTGAGGTAGGCCTTTGCGTCGTGAAAGCTGGGGTGTCAAACTGCATTACACTTGTCCATTGCTTGCTTGAATTGCGTCGTTGTTGGTCACTTCACTCGGAGACCATGGATGCATCGTCCCAAGCAAGAGCATCACCCACATCGGAACAACTGCTGCTCGCGCTCAACTCCATCGCACAGTAGATTAAGCAATGATGAATGGTACCTTCGTTACTTGTTCCAGTGACGACCCATCATTGCACTGAAGAAAATATAGAACAATAAGCCAACAGACCGACGTTTTAGGTGAAACCATTCCTAGGTATCCCTAGGTTTTTCTCACACTTACTGGTATATCTGCCTTTCGTATCCCTAGGTATCTCCCTAAGTATCCCTAGACATCTCCCCAATTATCCCTAGGCATTCCTAGGAACATATGTGCCGATCAAAACGCACATAGGAGCCCTAGGAACCCCTAAACCCCGACTCATAATCAGAGAAAATTCCTAGGTATCCCCATGCCCTAAACTATCAGAACTCGGCTAATTGCGGTCAGTCCGGTTCACAAAGGTACCACCGCTGAGGGCATCCCTCAGCGATGACACCAGTCCAAGAATGAGTGGTTTTAGCCAAGGAATGGCCGAGATGCAGTAGTTTGTGTGTGTTGAGGGCATCTCTCAGTGATGGCACTAGTCCATGAATACGGATGGGTCGAGGTAGAGTAATCCAACATGTATCTATATTTGATCGATGGCCAAAATCATGTGGGCTTCACGCTTACTGCGTAGTAACTTGCAGAGCAAGCTGTTCGATTATTTGCACGGTCTACAGGCAACAATTTTTGACTGGAAATTATACCACGTACAAACCGTCCAAATTGGCGTACGTAGATTGAAACACGTGCAAATATACCACTTAAATATAACCACGTGCATGCACGTCAAAACCACATGCAAAAATTCCACACCCCACACTCTGTGTGTGTGCCGTGTCAAAGGTTCCGATACCTTAGTGGAGGTACTGAGTACTTTAGTGAATGGTAGTAAGTAGGCGCCACGTGGCGTGTTTAACCTCACTATTGTCAGTGTGTATATTTGCTGCCTTGACGAAGGTCCCGTGGCCGAAAGCCAAGAAGAAGCGGGAGACAAAACAGTCACTTCCATTTAGTCTAGCGAATTAAAAGCACTTCAAATATGGCCTAACAGTAAATCAAGAGCATCCATCCGACAACGCTATGGAGCTGGAGACACAAACAACGCCAACTCGCATTGCTCATTGATATTGTCAAATCGATTCAAAATTGGAGACACCAGCAGTACTTACCACTCGAATTCCTACACAGCTTACATTGAATACTGTTACGCTATAGTACTACTACTACAGTAACTAGTATTCACCGTTGGTACGTGTTCTGCAGCGTGCAGAGCATTTGGGTCGCGCGTTAGTTTGACCCATTGCTAACACACACACTCTGTGTGTGTTCCGTGTCAAAGATTCCGATACCTTAGTGGCCAAGAAGAAGCGGGAGTCAAAACAAGCATATTTTTAGTTCATTGTTGAGCTATTCATTGGAGATGGTACGCGAACATTCCTCCGACGAGGAAACGCCAACGAACGCCGAAGAACGATCGCGGTCGCGTGACCGGATCGAGGAGCCGCGAGGACACGCCGCTCGGCGCACTGTTGAGAACCCACTCAGATCTCCCCGACGACGACAGCCACCTGCTGTCGACGAGTGGCAACCGCCACGTGGTGGGTTTTACACCCCTGCCACAACCCGAGGAACACCAGCTGTCGCAGCGTTTGTTGCTGCTGCTCCACCAACGACTGAAGCAGATGGCGCTTCAGTGCCGTTGCCAGCCGAGAACGATCCGTCCGACGTCCGTGACGATACGGACATGCGCAGCGATGGCGGTTACGTCCGTACGGCGCCGCAAATTTGGAACGCGCCGGCGCTCCCGCAGCCGCCGACATTTTCGGGCTCGTCCAAGGCCGAAAAACGCGCTTTCATGCGCGAGTACCAGAAGTATCTGGGGCAGATCAACGCTCTGCAGTGCAATTGATCGCGTCCGTTCGCGATGCCCGTGAGTGCCTGCATGGACCCGCTCTCGAAGCGCCGGATCACGCTGTTCGACTTCAACCGCGACCACCATTCCATCACGAACGATGAGTGGGTCGCGTGGTTCAAGTCAGCGTTTGAGGAAGACCCTCAAGGCCGAAACGATCGTGCCAAAGAAGGGCTGCTTGAAGTGTGGTGACATGAGTCACCGTGTGGTACGGTGCCCGAAGGCCGCGCCTGGCGTGACCGAAACGTTGTTGGCAGCGCAAGTCAAGCGCTGGAAGGACGGCATCAAGGTGCTGGTCAACCAGCCGCAGTGACAGAAGACAGAGCGCGGGGTGCTCTTGGAGAATATCGTCCGTGTGGACGATGTGCTCTTGGACTCTGGTTCGGATGTGACCGTAGTCACGCGCGCCGTCATGGAAGCGTTGGACACAGCCGGTGTCAAAGTCGGAACCGTCTCCCATAGCGTGCCGCATTTGGCGTACCCGTATGGCAGTGACGCCAAACCAGTTGTGATGACGCGCAGCGTCAAGTTCAACTGCGTGACGCTGGAAACACGCTGTGTCGAAGCTGTTCGTCCCCATCCACCCTTCCAAGCCATCAAGAGAAATGGCATTTTTGCCCTACACGCATATCTCCGCTACTGTGAGAATGATGGTCCTGCCAACTCCCCCACTCTGCGTGAACATTGGATCGTTGATTCCGGTGCCTCCACCTCGTGGACCCCCAACCGAGATTATTTCTCGCGCTTCGTCCCATGTGCGCTGTCTTTGACAGTCGGGAACGGCGCCAGGTTCCCAGTTGTCGGTTATGGCGCCATCTCGATGCTAGTGGACATGTCGTCCCGCGACCAAGTCGATGACATCCGTCCATGCACTTTGCGCCTCAATGTTGGCCTACATTGCCCCGAACTACAGTTCAACCTGTTCTCCGTCCGCGAGGCGTCGGATGACGACATCACAGTCCGGTTTCCGGCTGGTGATGTGTGTGAGATCACCACCTCCTTTAGAGACGTGCTTAATGCACCCAACAATGCCATGGTCCTCTGCTCGTTCCCTTCCGAACCCAAGGTCATGCCCACTGATCCACACCATGGAGAGGCTCTCCACATTTCGGACTTGACCCGTTTCCGTGCCATGATGGCCTCGTTCGAAATCGCACTGCGGACCTTTTCGACAAAATACAGTGGATTTTCCACTTTTTACGATCAATTGCATATGTTTGCTTACTCGTCGGTGTTGCGCTATGCGCCTATCACCCATCGACCATCTATGGTCCCCAAGTTACCTCCACCGCCTCCTCTCACTACAGACTCTGTCTACTTTAGTGTTGCCCATGCAATGCTTGGCACACAAACTACCACCCGTGTCTATGATGTCACTCATGTTCCAACCGATTGCCTCACCAGCCTCGTAGCTGACTCCAAATTCTCAGCAACTAGTCTTGCGCGCCTTTGGCACCGCCGTCTCGGTCATCCTGGCATTGATGCTTTTGAACGCATGAGAAAAACAAACCCCTAGCTTATGCTCTTCAAGGCCAAGCATCTTCGTGGTCACTTATGTGAGACTTGTGCTTACGCCAAGTCTAAGCGCAGTCCGTTTGACTCCTCAGCGGTCTTCCGCGCTACATCCTACCTCGCCCTTGTCCACACGGACATCTGGACACCCAGCCCGATTCTGTCGGCGGGTGGCTCTGCCTACTTCGTTGTCTTTATTGACGATTTCTCCTGCTTTATGTGGGCTTATCCAATGCGTTATCGGAAAAATCTCTATGAGACGTACGAACTATTTCGTACGGATGCCATGTCTATTTCTAAACATGATGTTGGCGCGTTGCGTCATACGCACCCCACGGACATTGGCACTCTCCAAAGCGACAACGCCAAAGAGTTAGCGAAGCTCGACTGCCTCATCCGGCCGAAGTACAACACTCGGGTGGCATCTACTCACCTCAACAAAATGCGGTCGCTGAATGCCGTATCGGCATTGTTGTTCAGAAGATGCGAGCTATGCTCATCGAAGGGGCCCTGCCTAAGTTCCTATGGGCTTTTGCCCTTGACTATGCCTCATGGCTGATTAACATCTCTCTGTCGTCCTCGAACAAAGGTGTCTCACCCTACACCGTCGTATTCAAACGACACCACTCGTTGGGTCACATCAAAACCTTCGGTTGCACAGCGTTTGTCCACGTTCAACGTGCCGACAAGACTATGTTCGTGAGTCTCCCATTGTCTTATATACAAAGTGCCAAGGCCAATTTTAAGTACGTGCACCTCGACCCTACCCCTCGAATATTATGGGACAAGCTACTCAACGCCCAGCCAGATTTTTAATCGCCAATCCCACACAACCGCAAGGGTTATACCCTTTTAAACCTGCATTCTCATGCACTGATCTACTCTCGTGACGTGATTTTCCGGGAGTCCGAATTTCCCGCGATCAACTCTGTTGAAGCCGCCGTTGCGTATCGCAAACGACTTGCTTCAGATCCTACTTTCGTTCCATCGTTGGAACCCAACGCCCCATTGCCCTCACTACACTCACTGATTGAGAACAGGCCTAGTGCTTTCATCTACGACAAGCCTCTAGCTCCGTCCAGCCTACTGTACCCCATCCGTACAACCATCGTCTTCTCGGCCCATCATAGCACTCACTGTGGTTCAACCAGACCGTCTTTTAGATGTGTTCTATACTTTCCCGCTGACAAGCCCGGTCTATGACCCAACTGCTATCCTCTACGCCCACTTTATGGTCAT